CTGGCTGTACTTAAAAAGGGCATTACGTTGCATGTTGGTGTCCCCGGAAGGAGAGAGTCCGGGGAAGGGTCTCGCCAAAAGGATGTAGAGGGTCAGCATTCCCTTGTCATTTTTGGGAAGAGGTCCCTCCCCAAGATTTGAACCCGTGACCTCGGTTACACAACAACACCGCAACTGATGCACCAAGCCTTTCCCAAGTAGGCTGTACTTTTTGTGAAACAATGTGACAACACCCATGTCACAAGTTAATTATACAGATATTACGCCCTATTAATATGTTCCATATATACACTAAATTAGGGGCTACTGATCTTTAGTCCTTCACTACTTTAGGCTTTGGCATGTACTTCCCTCAGTTGCATCTCTCACCAAGTTTTTATTTATTTATTTGTAGTCTTATGGCTTGGTTTTGGTTTGTCCCTTAATATTGTCTGCGAATTTCAATTTTAGGAGCTTATAAATTATTACAACATGTCCACTTCAAGAGATTGGACGGGGCGTGTTAAGAGCTTTAAAGGGACAGGAAGCATTGGAGATGGTTTGAAGCCTATACTTCAAAGTGCTGCACCACAAGTGGCATTGTTCTCTGCTCGAGGACCGAATATCAAAGATTTTAGCTTCCGAGATGCTGATCTCCTCAAACCCGATATACTGGCTCCTGGTTCTCTAATTTGGGCAGCATGGGCTATTAATGGAACAGATGAAGCAAATTATGTTGGTATATCATATTTTAGATTTTTCTTTGAAATCATTGGTAGAGGATTACTTATATTAGCTCTCTAACACTTGGAGGGTCAGTAGGAAGTTTTGGATACATAGTCACCAAAAAACTGTTAAACAGTACTCCCTCCATGCCAAATAAATCTTTACACTTCTCTTTTTCATCCATCCTCGGTTATCTTTACATTTATTTTTAAAGAATGAATTCTGTGGTCCATATTTTTCTTTGCTTTCTAAATGAATCAAAACACAATTTCATTTTCTTAAATATGTGCCAAAAGCAACCGTCCTGATTTATATGGGACATAAGGAAGTATTGTTTACTACATTGGCTCTTGGCTGTATTGCCTTAGCAGCATTATATTCTTTGAAGACCTTTTTGTGTATACATTTTTCTGCTTAATGAGAGGAGTTTACTGATATTGCTCTTCCTTTGACAGACTTACCTTGTGTATTTGCTTGCTTTTCACACTATCCACACTACTTGCCAAGGGTCCCATAAAAATAGCCTCTCTACCCCTTAGGGTAGAAGATAAAGTCTGCTTACATCTCAGCCTCCATAGCCTACTTATGTGTGGGATATATTCACATACCTAATTTGCTTGGTTTGGTTTTATCACTTATATCCAAGAAATTTGTAACTAAACATTAAAAAATCATCATGAAGAAGCTGAATAACTGTTTTGGGTTGTGCAAGGTGAAGGATTTGCTATGATATCTGGAACCAGCATGGCTGCTCCTCATATAGCAGGAATTGCTGCACTTGTGAAGCAGAAGCATCCTCGTTGGAGCCCTGCCGCTATTAAATCAGCTTTGATGACAACATCATCAACTATTGACAGAGCAGAGAGGCCACTTCAAGCACAAGAGTATTCTGCTTCTGAAACCATGACACTGGTTCACGCAACACCTTTTGATTATGGCAGTGGCCATGTCAATCCCAGAGCAGCCCTTGATCCTGGCCTTGTCTTTGATGCAGGTATCCCCAGAACAGCCCTTCTATCAATACACGCTAACAAATTTTAAGCTGTTCTTCTATCAATACATGCTAAATAAATTGTAAACAGTTGGAATTTAAGATTTAAATTGCAGAACACACTCAAACTCATTAGATCTGCTTCATGGAACCTGATATTTATTGACAGTTAAATATTTCCTAGTGCATGTCTTTTTGTTGCTCTTCAATTCATTTCCTCCTCCATCCCTGTGTGACAAACCTTAATCACTGTGACACAAAATGTGATGGTACTTTGAAAGTTTGAATGCAAAAAAAGAGAGTTGAATGGTCGAGTCCGTGACACACTGACACCATTTCAATATTGGGGTTTGACATGAATCTGTAAGGCTGTAAGCATATTTATTTCACAGCAGGATATAAGGCGAATTATCAAAACTGTGATAGTAATCCTATTCGAGTTTTATTACTCCACCTGTCTCATAATTTTCTTCCCATTACCCTTTTCGGGATGTCCCAAAATATTCTTCACATTTCCTTTGAAGGAAAAATTTGTGTGGTATAGTATTATTTCTCTCTTTTTTAGATATACCAGAACCATACAGTTACTTTGTTAATAAGCCTAGAAGTCAAAATGGGGAGAATCCGAAGCTTTCATTAAATAGTGCACTTCCACTTAAGAATCTTGATTGACAGTCATCTTTGTTGCACTTATTAACTGATGATCTGTCAATTGAATTTTAGGCTATGAGGATTATTTGGGATTCTTGTGCACAGTCCCAGGAATTGATCCTCTCGAGATTAAGAATTTCACACACTCTGCGTGCAACTACACTCTTGGCCACCCATCAAATCTCAATATGCCCTCAATCACAACATCTAATCTTGTTGGGACGCGAACTGTGTCACGCTCGGTAACAAATGTTGCTGAGGAGGAAACATATGTCATTACTGCAAGGATGGCACCAGATATCTCCATTGAAACAAATCCTCCTGCAATGACACTAAGGCGTGGTGCAACACGCAAATTTACAGTGACTCTGACCCCCCGCTCAATTACTGGACAATACAGTTTCGGAGAGGTTACACTGAAAGGAAGCAGAGGGCACATTGTCAGGATCCCTGTTGTAGCACTGGGTTGTCACGCTGCTAAACTCCGGTAGTTTGTCTATGTTATTCCACTTCACGATATACTATGTTGTATTCTTTGGATCTGTGAGAATAAGCTGGAGTTACTTTGTCAAGGCGTAAAATACAGTTCTAAAAATGATGTAAAGATGGCTAAGCCTGAGAGGGGGGAGAGGCTCTTATGTTCTTCATTGTGTCCCCCTCTAGAAGGAGTTGCCCTGGTCGATTCCTAGTTTTTTTACTGCCTTCAGACTGAGAATGGCTTGTAGCCTTGTATGTTAAGATGTATCTTACACCTGTGTATGATTGAGAAATATTATGCATCTTCTTTGTAATGTGTGTACATTTGTACACTATCCTTCTTCATTCCTAACTTCCTATTGCTATATTGCACACTAACCTATTGTTTTTAATCCAGAATAGAACATTCAAATGTTAAGTCCTGTCTGTGAATAAATTGCCTTGCATCGGAATCAGAACCATTCCAGTTCGGTCCTAATTTTGAGGAACCGGAACTGAACTGGGCTCGCCCTACTTGAAGGATGTGGTCAGTTGATGCATTGTTCTTGGATACCATTGTGAATATAGAATACTCTCGTGAGAATGATTTAGAGTAGAAAGTTTTGTGAAGTCAATTATAGTTGAAGCTTATTTGTGTGTTTCTATTTTTCAAAAGCCCTTGCTACGAATAATATTCTTAAAGTTTCTTAACTTGAGATATTTTCTCCGTTTTAAACAAATTTGTAATTTTTTTTCTCCAAGTAAGTGCCTGTCGGATTCTAGTGGGTCTGGGTGGGGTGCACACACAAGGATGGACTCGGTTCGGGCTGGGCCTCGGTCCGGTTCTGACCGGGCTTTTTTTTTGGAGAAGTGAGGTCCGGAAATCGGCCCGGATAGCTCCAAGCCCAGGGCCGGCTGGTTCACCTGCCGGTTACCCGGCCGGGTCGGGCCGGGTACCTTTTTTGTTATTTATTTTCTAATTACTTCATACCCCACCCCCACACCCCAAACTCCTCCAAAACACCCAGCTCAACCCATTTACCTTTTAAATGGTCTGAACCGGGCCCGAACCGGCCTTGCCGGTTCGTGATTTGGGAGGCCCAGGAACCGCCCCTCTATAGTGCTGGGCCGGGTGGTTACTTTTCTGGCTATATTGACTGAAGTTACTGTAGATGACTATTTTAGCTATTTTTACATATAATTTTTTCTTTATTTTATTAATAAAATCCTTTTTGGGACGTCCCAATAAACTTTGTCACTTTCTCTTTTAATTAATTAATTTTTGATTTCTGTTATTTCTATTTCTTCTGCACAAAACTCAACCACACACTTTTTACTTTATTATTTTTCGTGCCGGTCAACTTTGTCAAAATTTTAAGGGAAGGAGGTAGTACTTTATTAGTACTTTAGCTAATTCAGAAGATGGTGAAACTGGATGGAGATCTTGATGATTGATCTATTTTCTCCCTTTTCACCTTTTTCTTTTATCTTCTTTATCTTTTTATGTTCTTTATCCTTTTATCCTTTTTACTTTATACTACCTTCGTTCCTTAAAACTTTGTCAAAGTTGACCGGCACAGAGAATAATAAAGTAAAAATTGTGTGGTTGAAATTCGTGCAGAGGAGAGAAATAACAGAAACCACAAAATAATTGATTAAAAAGGAAAGTGTCAAAGTTTTTTGGAACGTACCAAAAAGAAAAGATGACAAGGTTTCAAGAGACGGAGTGAGTATATAGTATATACTCCGTATATTCTTTTTACACCTTTTATCTTGCCATTCTATGTTACTTTATCCTTACCTTATCTTAATATATTTCTTATCTTTCTTTTTTGTCTGTGATAACATGCATCAATTCATTTAACCGTCCCAAAAATATTTTGAGGTTAAAGCTTGAATGTTGTCGATGTATGTGTCGTATAACGTCTTTAGATCTCAAATGCATTGTATCATATTCATTCTTATTGATATCATAATATCTTGTTCTCATTTAAACATACATATAAGTATATAACACAAATGAGCAGGCCGATAAACCAAAGGTGAAATTGACAGGTCTGTCCGAATCTATTTGACAAAAATGGTTAAAAAATTTACAGCTGACCATAAGATCCTGAACGAGTGTAGTCTTGAGAGCTGAACACCTGAACTGTACATATATAACGAGTAACATCTCAAGAATGAACTTCTATACCTAGAGACATTTTAGTCCCACTTTTTATTGTGAAAGACAATAAGAATCAAGAATCATGTTATATTGTACATATACGAAGGGAATATATATGTGATAATGATACGAAGAGTCAAGTTTCTTCTTCTTTACACAGAAAAAGGGACATTTTAAAATGTTTCTTCTGTTACACATTCAAATGTAAAGAAGCAAATGTACAAAAGCACAGACTGATATGCAAAGGAGTGTGGTAAAGAATCAACTTTATTGATTTCGCAGGCAGGTTGCTACAGCACACAAAACTTTGCTTGTCTTGCTTGCTCTTCTTTGTGTCCTCTGATGCGCCTCTGTTTCACTTTATATTTGCTTCTTAATAATGAAGTATAATAAAAATATATCAACAACAAAAACAACAACAATAATAACACTAACAACAATAAGAATAACAATTAACAATAAGTAGTGTAATGATTTTCTCCTTATCATTTTTTTTTAATTTCTCAAACTACAATAGTTCACAAATTGTTTTTTATATTTCATAGGGATAGTGCATTAAACTAATATATTACTTTAATGTAGACAGTAAAAGAACTGTAGAAGTGGGGAGCACTAGTACCACTAAATAGATTTTCATTTTAGACCATACCTTTTCAAGTATTGATAATTTAGTTTCAATACAACCTAAAGCAGTAAAGCTGCAAAAATAAAATACTATAAATGTACTATAAATTAAATGATATTTTTCTTATATTTGAGATATATGCTCTTGAGAATTTTTAATAGTTTCAAGACCATGCTGGTAATATTTGAAAAAAGACTTTAAATTGTATTGTAAAGAGCACAGAACTAGACTTACTCTTTGTCAACACCTATCTTAAGGGATCTCATAATTTTGGACCTGAGGTGACCACCTCAATTGCCTCATTTTGGGACGTCTATGCATACACTCGACTACTCCCTACATATACCGATATACGTACGCATGTATGTATGTACGTACATATATATATATATATATAGACGTATGTACAATAAAGACACACAAGTATATAATAAACACACTAATACATGTGTTTAGATAGTTGGTATATATAATTGTTGTTTGGAGAGTAAATTGAGGCCAGGGTGGCTAATCACCTTGCAAATAAATTGTAAGGCATCTTCAGAGTAAAATAAACTGAAATATTATCTAGCTTCTTTGGGACTAGCTGCTTTCTCATTTCTCTCCATCTGTCTCTTAGCTTTCTGGTGGTGAGCATGGGAAGAACTAGAAGCAGATCATCTTCTTCGGTATCCACAGCATTTTATCTTCAACATTTGTTTGTGCTTGGCAGTTTTGTCATTCTCTCACATTGTGGTAAGTTATAAGTGACTAATAATTAAAGAATTACAAAGCTATGTCGTTAAGTATGTTTACTGGTAATCTTCTGGCCATATATACTTTATAACATCTTCCATGTATATATAAATTCCCCACAAAAAACTTATATATCTTATAATTTATACATTTCCAAATATATACAAAACTTATACATTCTTCCACACACACGCATCTTATAACTTCCCCACAAAATTTATCTTCCAAAGAACCGTGTTACAAATAGTTATTGAAATTTCTAGAACAAGTATGAGTTGTTCCTGTTAAGATTGTTATTTGTTTAAAACTAAAAACAAATGAGTAAATAATTGGTCTGTGAATTATTGAAATGAATTTTTATACTATACTAAAATGAGTATAGTGGTTAGAAAATTGCAGATTTTCATAACTTTACAAACAATGAGCAAAATAGTTGTGACAACTATTCACACTGTATTTTAAATTGGGCTTGGGACTTTGTAGACTTCTAAAATTAGGTTAGATGCATTTAACACACAATACAAGTATCCAACCGGCTATATAGTATAGGGATTGCTAATAGTAACTCGGATGGTGGTGTATTTTATAGAATATGTCGCTGATAATATAAAACAACACGTTACTTGCAACGGACGGGTTTTTAATGCATATAATCATACCTGTCACTTTTATATACATAATTTGTAATAAAATCGTTCTAAATTTACATTCATTGTGTACATTCATATTTGGTAAGTGTTTATCAGGTAATGAGAAGTAGTCTCACTTTTTGCTCCTCAATGAATGCATGTTAATTAAGAATGTACACAACAAATTCACATACCAAATGTAAAACTAATATATATATATATATATATATATATATATATATATATAAGTAAAATCATTTTATAAATCATGGTGTAGTGAGTTCGTATTTATAAAGGAATATAACCACCTCATTACCGGAAAAAATTAAAAAAAAATAAAGTTATAATTTCCAGATTCTTCTCTTTACTGATGAGTGATGAATGAAGTTTTCCTCTTGAGTGAAGCTGTTTAGCATCATAAATTCATAATTGTCATTTCCTATACTGATTGATGACATGTTTGTTTTTGTTTTACTTAAAGAGGTAAGAAAAGCTTCAGGTGATTCTTCTATTCAATCAGAGATAACGAAGCGGTTCGATGTATACCTGTCGGCGGGGGACGATTCTTCCTATTCAAATTCTCAATGGTCCGGTGTGAGTTCCCCGTTGAATTTACCACCATTTGACTCTCTCGCCCCGGATCCCTCGCCGGAAATCTCCCCTGCCTCCGCCTATTGCACCTATTCTCCACCACCGTTCACTCCTTACCTACTCCCTCCTCCGTCAACTACTTCACCGCCGAGCCCAACTTCGCATAATTTCAGCCCGCCTCAAATCAGCCCAAGCCCTGCTGAGCCTGCTCTGAGCCCACCAATAACTGTCCCCAGCCCAATCGAACCTGTAGGGAGTCCACCGCAATTTGTCCCGAGTCCAATTGAACCTGTCACAAGCCCACCTCAATCTGTCCCGAGCCCAGTTGAACCAGTTAGCAGTCCACCTCAATCTGTTCCAAGCCCAGTTCAACCTGTTAAAGGTCCACCCCAATCTGTTCCCAGCCCAGTTGAACCCGTTAAAAGTCCACCTCAATCTGTTCCAAGCCCAGTAGAACCTGTTAAAAGTCCACCTCCATTTGTCCCGAGTCCATTTCAGCCTGTTTTCAGCCCGCCTCAAATTATCCCAAGCCCTACCCAGCCTGCTTTTGGCCCACCAAACTTTAACCCAAGCCCATCTGAACCAGTTCTTAGCCCACCTAATTCTGCGCCGGGCCAAACTCAGCCTGCTTTAAGCCCACCAAACTTTAACCCCAGCCCAGCAAAACCAGTTCTTAGCCCACCTAATCCCGCGCCGGGCCAAACCCAGCCAGTTCTAAGTCCACCATGGTATGGGCCCAGCCCACGCGTAATTGTCCCGCCGCCGACAGGTCGCTTGCCCAGCCCGTTCCTGCCGCCAGTTGTGTACCCGCCGCCGTCGGGGCCGCCGGCTCCGTCTACTACGCCACCGACTGCTCTGTGGTGCGTGGCGAAGCCGTCAGTTCCGGATCCGATAATAGAGGAGGCGATGAACTACGCTTGCGCATCCGGGGCGGACTGCAATCAGATTCTGCCGAAAGGGTCGTGTTATCAGCCGGATACACTGTTCGCACACGCTTCGTTTGCCTTTAATAGCTATTGGCAGAGAACAAAGCAGGCCGGCGGCACCTGTGAATTCGGAAGCACCGCCATGCTCGTTACTGTTGATCCAAGTCAGTGTTTCTTCTCCTCCCATTACAAGTATGCTTGGACTCGGGCCGGGTCAGGCCGGGCCGGGCCGCTGGTTCCATATGCTTAGGCCCGAGACCGGCCCAGGTCTTGACCGGTTCCGGGCCAGGCCGGTTCCGGTTTTTTTTTTTTATTTTTTTATTCAAGTTTATTTCACCCCCCACCCCCATCCCCCCCAACCCCCCAAACCCCTCGGAAATACCCAGCCCAGCCCAACTAACCCCAGCCCAAACCAAAAAAATCAAAAAATAAAATAAAAAAAGGCCCGAATCGGGCCCGGCCCGGCCAGACCGGTTCCCTTTTTCCCTTACCCGTGCCCGGAACCGGTAGACCCCCTGGGCCTAGGCCGGAACCGGACCCGGTTTCCCGGGCCGGGCCGGTCCTGCACAGTAGCGGGCCGGGCCGGTTCCCGGGCCGGGCCGGTTCCCGGGCCGGGTGCCCCGCACCGAGTCCAAGCCTAATTACAAGTCTGATTAGTATTCTTGACTTAAGTGAAAACACGTTTTAAAAATAAATAAAAAATTTGAAATAATAATAAATAAATAAATAATGAACTAAATCAATTACACTCGGTGTTCTAAAAAGTGACAAAAGGCGGGCATAGGCGTGAGGCGGCGGAGAAACACCTCGCATTGTTGAATGGCGTGTAAAAGACGTGAAAAGGTGGAAGTTTTTTAGATAAAATTTGAGCCAGTTCTTTTTTTTTAATTACAACCTTCAAAAATTTGTAATAGAATTTATTTTTTACAAAGAAAAAATTAATTAAACGTTCTCACGCGGTTTGCGACGTTTGACTGACCATGAAATTAACTGATCTCTGTTATTAGTAGAATTATTTTTAGTAAATAAAATTTACATATTCAGAAACTACATTAAAACCGCTACAAAGCTTGATCAAGAAAGTTTAAATTTGATAAAAGTTGGATATATAAAGTAAAAGATTAAGAACAATGCACGTTGGACATTTATTTTCTTTTTCATATATTAGTCTATATAATACGGAGTAGTAATTAACAATAGAAATTTAAAATGTCTTTTCACGTTTAGGCTTCGCCTATTCCCGTCTAATGACTTTTAGAACACTTATTTTTCCAAATTATATCTAATTTGAGACAATAATTTCTAAAACCAAGTTTGTGTTCTTTATTTTGTTTCAAATTGCTAAACAAATACCGAGTATTCGAGTACACATTTGAGAAAACTGAGACACTCAACATACTCCATCCGTCCCATTTTACTTAGTCAAACTTGACTTTTCAAGTCAATGACGTCTAACTTTGACCGATTATATGTTTATATAGAGAAAATATTAATAATATGAGAATGATATGAAAATGTTCTTTATTAAAAATACTATCATAAAAGTATAAATTTTTTAAATGTTGCATAAATATATTAGTTTAAATAATTGATCAAAGTTTACCATCTTTGACTGGAAAAGTCAAAGATGACTAAGTAAATTGAGACGGAGGGAGTATATGCATAATATGCCTCATTTTTTAAGCCAACTAGCTTCTAAGTTTTTTCCCTACATCAAATACTTACTAGTGTACATTAATACAAAGCAAAAACCCAAAATTGATCTGGGCCTATCTAAAGTTTTTTTTTGCACACATCAAATACTTGTTTAGTAAGTGTATTAAAATTTTAAAGAAAGCAAATATCTAATTTTTGGACGAACGTAGCATAAAATAAGTGTTACTCTTTTTCATATGATCAATAACTCGCCTATTAATTCTTTAGTATTGTGTACTAAAAACATACTCTGTATCATATATGCATTCAATTTGTACGTTCAAACTAACTTATAATTTATATATATGTATATTAAAAAAAAGTAGATGGGATGATAGGTGGGATATTTAAGATAATATTCTCTCCCTTCAAAGTACTTCCTTCCCATTTATTTTTGGAGCGTTTTTTTAAATAAAAATTATAATACGACTTCACTTTACAAAAACAGTCTAAAAATGAAGTGCATGAACATTAGAACATCTCAAATGATCTCTAAAAATAAGTTGTTTTATTGTCGCATAATTTTTTTTTCTAAATCTAAAAATTCTTTTAATTATAACTCCCAACTATCATTCTGAAATAATCTCATATTTGCTTGATCATGCAGTAACATATTGCATATATTTTTAAATAGTCTTAAAAATAATATGAATTTATATTTTGATCTCGGATTATTCTAATTAATAATCTTATTAAGTAATTGTATTATACAAACACACAAACATGCTCTCATAAACAACTGTCACATTATCAACTTAAACTCCTAATAATCTTACCAATGAGGATATTTTATAGGAAATGAGTTTAGATGGTTGAATGTCATCAAAATTTTACGCGGACCCTTCCCGAAACAAACACTCATGTTACTATTAAATTTTAGTTGAGTTAATTTTTTTGTAAGGGTGTATCCATGAGAGAATCTATGTATACTCTATGGTCAACTAAAGTTTAGAGTAACTTATTTTTTTTTCAAATTTAGTGTATTTTTTCTATTTTTCATATCCCTTAAAACAAAATATAAAAAGTGTATGAAAAATTAATGAAGAAGTTGCTCAAAAAATTTCATCAAAAAATTCCACCGGAAACCGCTCCAAATGGCGACAGCCGGACAAAGCCTCCTGTAAAAGGGCTTATTTGTACTTTTTATAAAAGTTCGAGGGCTTATTTGATAGTTCTCCCATTTTTATAAGATATTACTAGAAAGTTGACCTTAATTTTTAATTATTTTATTCAATATATATAATTTTAAACGACAAAAAGTGCAAATGAAAACGATATATTGTTGTTTTCACTATTCCGTATTAGATTTCATGTATAACATATTTATAAAAGTGTATAATTTCACGCCTTTGGTGATTAATTTTTTAGTTGGCCACTTTTTTCTAATCTTTCTATTATGTTAAGTGTTTTCCCACTGCCTCACATCTAGGCGCGTCTAGACCCTGTCTTTTACGGCCTTTTAGAAGACGAGCTATTATTACTAATGTTATTATAAAGTATATTAGAATGTTTTTTTTAAGTAAAGTATACTAGAATATTGAATGAATATTTTCATAATTTCTGAAAATTACAACTTGGGTTTGATACCTCTTTATATCTTGACCGCCCGGACAGGTTATGATGGTTGTCACTTCACCTATTTGTAGCTTGAGATATTGGATATATGGTACATTGGAAATGGATCAGAAGCACACATAGTAATTGGACCAGCCTAGCTAAATCTCATCATCAATATCGTTCTAAGTCATTGTCTCATCAATATTGACCCATTGGACGTTGTATATGTCAAGATCAACATTTTGTACTCAATTAAACTCTTCATTGTTAGAGTGTATATTTTAAATTTGAATATTCTATTCAGACATGGAAATAATACATTATCACATTGCTTTGTTATAGACTTGTTAATGTTTATCTAACAAAAGAATGGTTTTGTGCATATTTAGAATGCATGCTTTTGGTTGTTTGTATATTTCTTCTTACATACCTTTCTGGCTCTCTTTTAACAGGCAACTGAGAAATCTAACCTACAAGATAAGGCAAAAAAGTTAGAAAAATAAATTTGATGTAAAGAATGTCATCATAATTAGTGAAGACTCTTAGAAGCTTGAAATGGTATGTTACTATCCTAAGAATACTCTAATTTTACCAAGGACTCCCTATGATTTAGAGTCCCTTGAAATTCAAAAGAGCACCACAGTACAATTAATTTTGAAAAGCAGTCTTTAATGGATAAAGGCATTAAAAGTTTTACTTAAAGCACTTAAAGAGTCTTTGCAGGGGTGAGAGATTCGTTAGAGACTAAGGGCTAGTTTGGTTGGGGAGGGGGAGGAGTCATATTAAAATTGAAAATAAATTTTAGATTTAGAAATATTGAAATAAAGTGAAAACAAAATACTATCCTTCCCATCGTATTAGTTGCAACATTGAAATTTATACACTATTCATGTATTCTACTTTGACTAAATTTTATTTATTAACATATGTGAATTATTTTTTTTGAAAAATGCTTTTGAATTCGTCTCATTACAAAGTTTCATGATCTGATTTTTAATTTTTTTTTACTAATAGAGAATTAAATATAATAACAGTCAAATTTGTGCATCGGCAGATATGAAAAAAAAAGAATATTGCAACTACAAAAGAACGGAGAGAGTAGTATATAAGTGGTCTAACTAGTTATATAGTTATTAGTAGTATAAAACTATCAAATTCGGATAAACTAATAAAGTAAAAAATCAATCTCCTCTTCGCTCTCCTCCCAAATCCCTCAACCAAACCAGCTAGATATACTCCCTCTGTCCCTAGGGTTGGACTCGGGTCCGAGCCGGGTCCGGGTCGGGCCTAGGCCCGGGCGGGCCGGCGGTTCAAGAATGGTGGACCCGGGACCGGCCCGGGTACCCACCGGGTCCGGTCCGGATCCGGGCCGGGCCGGGCCTCCGGTTTGGTTTTTTTTTTTTTTTTTTTTGCTTTCCTACCCCCTCCCCCCCCTCACCCCCACCCTCCCAAACACCCCCAAACCCATCCTGCCCATCAAGCCTAACCCGGGTGGAACCCCAAAAATGAAAAAAAAAATAAAAAAAAATTCAATTTGGCCCGGGCCCGGGCCCGACCCGGCCGGGCCGGTTCACCAAAATTGAGACCCGAGCCCGGACCCGCCCTACCCCCCCGGGCCTAGGCCCGACCCGGACCCGGACCCGAGAACCGGGCCGGTCCCGGACCCGCCCGACCCGGACCCGAGAACCGGGCCGGTCCCGGTCCCGCACAGTAGCGGGCCGGGCTGGTCCACGAGCCGGGTGGCCCGACCCGAGTCCAAGCCTATCTGTCCCACTAAGGTTGTCTCATTTTACCTTTTCAGTCCCGCCAAACGGGAATTGACAAACTTAACCATCTTACAGGATTTGACATTCCATTAATAGCCAAAACCAAGGCCTGGGTTTGGCATGCCATGGGCATGCATAGACCGTGTTTTATAGGTATATATATAAAAAAACTTTGGCATTGAAGTGCCACTTATCCCAACAATTGATCATTTTAATTGGATGCCCGCAAACATGTTACACCAGCTTGAAGTCTGTTATACTCAGCAACATTACAAGGGATCTTACAAATCTTTGAGATGAGTAATAAATACATCAAGATTTCAATGTCTTAGCCGGGCAATGTACACAACTTCACAAATTTGAGCATACATGGGTGGGAGTTGACTCCTCAACAATTTTGTCCAAATACTAATGACATAAATAGCCCAAAATATAGGCGTTAAAAAATAACACAAAATACCAATGCCCCCAGCAAAGGACTACCAACTTTCCTGGGCTTCTTGAATCACTATATGTATCCAGTATATTGGATCCTCCCTCCACAAGTAGAGCGCTTGCTAGGTTTTGACCACTCAAGCTTTCCATACCGTGGGGGCCTTTTACAATAGCAGCGATACATGAGAAATGCAGAACGGGTCAAATTGGATTGACCAAAGAATTTTTCTTACATACATCAATCCCGCATTCAAATAGAGGTATAATTTGGGAAAAGTTGCATCAAGTTATCAAGAGCTTCTGGTAGGAACTTCCTCCCAAAGAGGTAACATGGTCGTTGATTTCCATTCCATAAACAAGGCATGGTTTGAACTTCCTTCTGCAACACAATTAAAAGGAAGAATAAGAAAAGAAAACAACCTAACATGTCAATTATATCTCGTATGAAAACAAAAAATAAACAATACCCTTGAATCACTTCCCACATGTACACTCTCAGTAATGGACTGCAAAAACAGAGAGGAAAAGGTGTTAAGAACACGTCATGTGTACCTATGGCAGAAAGCCAGAAATGTCATTTCTAATTAGGAAAGAAAACCATTATCATCATCATCATCAACATCATCATCATCATTACCCCAATGCCGCAAAGGCTCCCACCTACGGTGGGGCAAGGGGGTCAGATTTACGCGGTCTTACCCCTGTACTAATGCACAGAGAGACAATTTCCAGATGACCCATAATGAAAATCGCGTCGAAAATTGCATGGATTGACTGCTGCTTCATAACAAAGAAGCAAAGAAGCGCAGACAATTTAGTGAGCCACTGTATGGCACTAAAATCATATTATAAGGATTATAGATCATAAATGCAATTGTTGTGTGGGCAAAATGAAGGATCCGTGTAGAGGTGTCAAACTTACAAGGTTATGTATGATACTTTTGATGAAAGTTGTACCCACAAACAACTTCAAAATTACAATGAAGTGTGCAATGAACACGTGGAAGCAAACATGAAAATTACATGTGCATGAGTGCATGACTACATGTATGGAAAGGACAAGGAAAAACAGGCATACTGTAATGTTTTTCATGAGCTCGTAAGTTATATCACGGGCGGCGTATGATTTGGGGTGCCACTTTCTCTCAGACCAATCAACATGTGTAACTGACCAATTTGCAATTCCAGAAGAATCAAGCATCTGGAAAATGCAACAGAAATAAAACATTAAGATTATCTATAGTTTGTTGGAATACAAACACCCCTCAGCATGGTCATAATAGTAAGTCCCAATGTATATCAATTATCAATTAATGCCATAAAAATGTTTCACATAATGATACAACATCTTGTCAACAACTATGTATTCTCCTACTTCTAATTCCAAAAAATGTTCAAAACTTCAAATGAATAAAAACTGTAATAGTCACTTACATAGAAGAAGGTTGGTAAATAGTGTTCATCGGAATAACAGTTACGCCCTCCTTCCATGTTTGGCTGTGATGCAAGAGATGAAGAAAATGAATCAGTGGCTGAGCTCATGAAAATCTACAATATTATAATTCTACAGAAATTATGGCTCTCTCATATTAGAGTGAGGGGAGGGAATAATCAAATCGAAATCAGATCGGACTGACAGAATCCAGTTGAGACAAAATTCATTTTGACCAGTATTGCGTAAAGACTCGGATTTTATTGCTCATGTTAGACTACATCTCTTTGCCATATCGATCTAGCTGATATCGTTCAACTTATGTAATTATTCTGGGTTGAGTTCGAAAATAGAAGGGGAAGTCCAATCAGAGAAATAATCCCAACCATTAGGTGATCAAACGGTTGGAACCATCTTGGACCAGACAGAATTCGGTTTGTCTACCCTATGAGATCATTACCAAATACGTACATACATACAGATACATATACATATATGGTACGCTTCCAGTAAGAAGTGCATATCTCATGCAAAATGCACTTTTGTTCACTGCAGTTGCACATTTATGTTTTGGGAAGTACACAATTGTGGTAGCAGAAAGCCACTTAATTACAGAACTGCTATCACATCATGATCAGTTTTTTCTGCATTTTGGATCTTTTTATGCCCCTAGATCTTGATGTTTATGTACCACATTAATTCTTTTTTTAGTTATTTCTCATTTGAACTAACATGATTACGTATATAGGCATAGCAAACTACCAAACTGCTTAGAATGATTTAAAAACGATATTAATATTGAGAGTTATTTTTTAATATTCCCGTCTATATGCCTATAGGCCCTCTGTATAAAATATTGTGAAACACATCTAGAAAGGGAAACTGGATAAAGAAGCACACAATTCAATAAGGATGAATGCACTTTTTGTCCCAAAAAGAGTTTTATCAAACAAAGGTACTTGTTCCTGTAATTTTCCAAAAAAAGAGTCAACAAATTACATATTATAGCATTACTTAAATGAGTAGTTTTATGGAATCCGAATCGCATGTGACTCCCTTATGAAGTCACATGGGTATTCTAGCACGATCTCTACCATTTATTTTTTAATGGGGACCCCCACTAAAAAAATAAATGGTAGAGATCGTGCCACAACACCCCATGTGACTCCGTAAGGGAGTCACATATGTTTCTTTAAAAATGTTGTTACTTAAATCAGTAAACAAATTTACAAAATATAAGACTATAGTCTATAGAGCTATATTAGTTGTATACTTGTACATCTAAATTTAAAAGTTGTATATTGGTCAAACATGATACAGAGGTAGTAAAGTTTAATATCCCACTGAAGACAGGTATATTTATCAAAGGTATTAGAGTTAGGCATTTCTATTTGGTATTAGGGCATTCACGTACACTTTCAATTTACATGTGTACAAAGCGACGCCTATATGGATTCATCATGGTGCCGGTCAAGCTTTAGTTGGTTGCGCATTCCACCTTTTAGCGTAATGTACAAGTAAATAAGGCTTTCGGGACCATGACGATTCGGAATGGAAGCCTTGTTGCTTAAAATGTATCAACAAAGAAGCAAAGTTCATCTTAAAAGAACTCCAGAATATTCCACTCTTTATGCATCTACATATACAAGGTAGACAATTTCATGGTAGAAATATCAAGAAAGGGGAAGTGACTAATTACCTACATTACATTTTAAAAAGTTCCGAAATAGTATGCCGTCTGTTTATAAATAAATAAATAAATAAATAAATAGATAAATAGATAAATAGATAAATAGATAAATAGATAAATAGATAAATAGATAAATAGATAAATAGATAAATAGATAAATAGATAAATAGATAAATAGATAAATAAATAAATAAATAAATAAATAAAGGATCCAAATACTTAAACTGGACTGGAAGAAAATGATATCGGCCTATCTTGACATGACATAAAATTTGGAGTTAAACTTCTTTGAGAAGTGATAATGCAAAACAGAGAAGATTTTTAAGAAGCAACCAAACCAAAGGGGAGAAACCCAAGATGATGTATGTAATGTACAAAATCTATGATAGACTCACAGTTATTTGATTTGCATAAGTCTATTGAGTTTATCCATGTCATATATATCCAAATTTTATGGGTAAAAGGTTGAAGTTCATAGATATATAAAAAGTTTTTCCAGTCATCATCATCATTACCCCAGTGTCTCAAAGGCTCCCACCTATGGTGGGGTAAGGGGGGTCGGATGTACTCAGCCTTACCCCTGTACTAAAGTACAGAAAGGTTGTTTCCGGATGACCCGTAGTGAAAATCGCGTCAAAATTGCATAGACGGACTGTTGCTTCATAAAAAAGAAGCGCAACCAATTTAATAGTGGTAGTAACTTTCTTGACATGAAAGAAAACATAATGCGCGCCAAGAAGATGAAGCAGAAGAATGACTGGGACCACTGGTGCAGGCTACACCAAGGCAATGACTATGGAAAAACAATATCATAACTATACTGCAAAGAAACTACAGTAAGCAGCAATAGTTAATGGTGATTCGACTTAATACAATCCTAAAAAGGTATGGAACCCAAATAAAATAAAGCCATGTTGCAGGAAGGATTTTAATGTATAAAATAACCAAAACATATATAGTTGTAAGCATGAAGGAAAAGAACAACCCTGCAGTAATCGTGGAACTTTGTATAATAAAGACTATCAGCCACAACTATAACAGCATGTTGTCGTTTCATTGTGAACCACTGCAGAAATTCAAATGAAAATTGACATAGAGATAATAAGTGTTAATAATACAACGATAGATCAAATTGAACAGATGAGATTGGTTAAAGAAGCAGCTCATGCAAAAAAAAAGTGGCATGGAGCTAGTACTGGGTACTGGAAATTTCCATGAGCTTCCTCTGTTACTAAACCCCTAGGAAATAAAAGGATAGGGTGAGTACCTGTGCACCCTTTCGGAAGTCTTTCTTTTCAACTTCAGGTAGCATATGCTCTGAATAACGACCACTTCCATGTGGGCCTGGATCCTCAAAGCTGAAGGGAAAAGGGGCCACACAAAGAAAACAAAGCAAAAAAATTATAATTCTACGGAAAACTATTTTATCAACAAACTGCATAGAGAGTAGAGACATGAGAATGGTACATAATTAAGTGCTATTGTTATGTGTAAAATAATCTTTGGTTTATAAAAAGTAGTCAGGCGATGATCATCCAATCAGCTTGTGCCGTACAACAATATACTCCCTCTGTCCCATAAAATAAGTCCCACTTTCCTTTTTGGGCCGTCCCAAAAAATTGTTCCCATTTCCCTTTTTGGAAAATTTTGTGTGCTAACATTCATTTACCTTTTTCTTACTCAACCACAATCATACATTTTCACTTTATTCCCACTTTCTTAAAGTCCCACCCAAATTGAAGTGAGACTTATTTTATGGGACGGAGGTAGTATCATTTTCATGTCTTTCTAGAATTATTTATAACCAATATGATCTAAATAGAGGTGCTCCTACAGACTTATACATATTTTTTACATTAACTGAACATATGACAATACTCTCACACCTAATCTGATTCCAGAAGAGTAAGTCCAGCTTACCAGTCGACGAAACTGACATTTGTGTACATCAGATAGTTGTACACGTAGTTAAAATTTCGCAAGGGTATGCAACTGCAGTTCAAGAAAACTTCTGTCATGACTCATGAAATGAAAAAAAACTTAAGGATCCTGAAATTGAGAAAACAGGCTGGTATAGAAAATCATTACCAACCTATCAGAGAGAAGTACAAAATGCTGATTGTCAGGATCTTTCAGAGCATTGGCCAAAAGCCGTCTCTCTGCATCAACCATTGAAATTTTCCCCCAGACTACCTGTATCCAGCAAACTTTAAGTGATATAACAAACCCCTTTGTTTCAAAATGTATATTGAACAAGGGATGGATAATAAAACTGTGGCACAAATATCATAATTTAGTAGCTAATTGGTATCCAAATGAGTCATTGCTGGTGAAAATTTACAGGGCGAAAGGTATCCAAGTGTCTTATGAAAATGTAACATTCAAACACCACCAATTGTTAGCATAATAATAATAGTAATAATAATAATAATAATAATAATAATATGTCACCGTGTTGGGTATATGCCAACTGCGAACTGTTCTTTCTACACATGTATACACACAGATACAAGTTAACAGCTAGACCACTATTTAGCACGGAAACTTGAGATTCATGGGGAAACGTGAAACAGAAAACATCAGAAAGAACAACTGTTTGGAGAGTTTCCAGAGCAGAAATGTACTCTTTCCTGAGAGTTTGTGTTTGAATCAAACTAAGTGCTTCGAGGGGGCTTCAGATTTAATTACAAACCTTTTCACTACGGATCTCCCGATTATAAAAGTAACGGCTGAAATGCACTGGCCTGTCCTTGGAAGCATGCACATAAACAGAGAATTTTCCTTCATGACCCTGATCATAAATTTAAAACAAAAAAGAATGAGATATTAAGATAATATTATTGAATCTGGCATGAATTATTTCAGGAGAAACATATGGGGGCCTCTTTTGTCACTGCAAAAGTGCAAAATAATGCAAACATTCACACTCAGTAAGTTTCTAATTTCCTATACATGCATAAATTAGTTGATAATTATTAGCAAAGTGGACCATTCTGTCTTATACCTCTCTAGGAGTGTTCACCTTGTTTGGTAAGTCAAAGACATTGCTAATACTTAATAATCAATTATACACAAAATAATAACCTTAGCATGTACTCCGTAATAATTAATTTGATAAACATATAGGACACATTTTCCTTCATACTACACCAACAAATAAATCCAATTTGTGTACCAAATCTGGTTTGTTTTACAATCTAGAATGACAAGTAAAATACATTATATATGGTCAAAGAAAGGGAAAAATGGACTCAAACATCCAACTCCAAATATAATACGCTAGAAACACAAGAAAAGAGGTCTAGAAGACAAACCTGGAAGAATTTATCCCAAAGCTTCTCAAATGGCAAGGCACCAGGGGTTAAAAATAGGAATGCAATCTTGGGGTTCTTTGATATAACCACAGGCGTATTTAGAATATCACTAATTACAACACGGGATGCTATCTCTTTATCTGTTAACTCTCTTGCGGGAGTAGGGGGGACCCAATCGGAATTGCAACCATGAGTTGAGAATACATAACAGGCAGCAGAATTTTTAGGAGGGTACATATAAGCACAGATCAGAAACAAGCTAACCAAAGAAACCAAAATGATTATCCATGTAGGCTTTTTTAACTGAGATCGCTGCCGAGCTGCAGGCAATATCTGCATATCTTTCATGCCTAAACGCCAGGCCTGATTTGCTTTCATTTATATACAAGGCATTAGCAACTAATTCCTGCCAATAATCAATGTCCCTCCCAGAATCCAGCAATGCCAGAAGCACAGATCTTGGCTTAGCACTTTAAATCACATGCAGATCTACAATCAAATCATTAAGGTATGCTAGAGCTGCATAAAACAAAGAAAAAAACGAGTAAGCAGTTGCCACTCATGTCCTAAACTTTAAATGTGAAATAATGCACCCTGCATTAGCAAAAAGGACCCAGGCTCGAGGCATAGCTAAATTTTCATATCTCAAATCCAATTGGTCGCACCAACTGTATAACACATTAGATAGAAAACATGTGGTCATTTTATGCATTAAATCAACAATCTAAGCCATAAAGAAATAGCATTGAACTACTACCTCACTCCCAGCTAACATTGAGATACGATAAAGTGCATAATTATTAAAAAAAGTGTGAATAAAGTATAAATGAATTTGAATCACATATTACCAAACATGGTAAAGGACAGACTTATTGTGTTAGAAGAAAAAGATAAAATGAAACAAAGACGGTGTGAGTGTGTAATTACTCAAACTATTTAAACTTGCAATGAATCTACTTCGGTATTGGAGCTCAGATTTCAATTTCATTTCCCTTTATCCCCAATTCAAAAGCATACGACAGACATATGGGGAAAACATGGAATCTTCAACAGCCAACTAAATGCTTTGGAACGAAAAGGTAAACTTTGAGCAAAGAAAAACAAAAAAGGTAGATCAGAAGGAAAAACAAATAAACACAGAAGATAAGCAATATAAATCAATAACTGGTGAAATTTGAACAAGCTGTAACAACCAACCAAAGGCGTCGAAAAGTCAGGGCGTCGAAAAGTCAGAGCGTCAACCCCGTGTCATTGTATCAAATCTACCATCACAGACCACATTGAGATCCCTCATTCCCATATACCGCAGACACTACGCAGACACAATAACAAACATACATAAACTTACTTTCAAGCATCATCGACTGGACCCCACCAATATCACCAGTCAAGATAAAACTCGAGCTAGCAAAACGAAACGAAATGAAGGTAAGACCAGCTTGACAGCTTGAGCTTGAGGAAAAGATCTTCTCTTCGAAGAGCGAAGGAAGGCTGGGAAGAAGATCTGAATCTCTCAATGCATATGCATGAAATGTATTTTAGGTCACTGCTTACTTATTAATAGTGTGTCCCTAGTTATGTTTATCCTACAGACCATACCATATTCTATCATTGGTGTATTACAATTACAATAATCAATCCACTCTATGTCAAGGCAAGTAAATCTATACTTTGAGGGTGTTTTGGTTCTACTTCTCAAAATTGTTTCTGCTTTTTCAGATAGTGGATTGATTATTGTAATTCAGAGAGAATTTGGGTGAAAGTGCGAAAGTGGATTGTTTCTCACTATTATCTTCAAAGAGAAAAAACATATATTAGGGTGTGTGCAAGTGTTTTTGGGTGCTCAAAATTGCTCGTAGAAGAAGTTTTTTAAAAGTTGGGGGATATCAGCTTGTGAAAAACTGATTCGAATTCTGCTTTTGCTTTAAAAAAAGTAGAAGCAAAATCAATTCCAAACACCCTCTTACTCCATATTTTTTAACAACTAACTATGGGCTCGTTTGATCACATTGAAATTGATTGAAACGATTGAAATTGTTAAAGTTCTAGTTAAAACGTTTGAATTGGCGGAAGGCTGAATTATGAAAAAAAATTGTATTGAAAATATATTTTATCAAAAAAATAAAGAAAAAATAACTAAAATGATCTTCTACAGTAACCCATTCAATTGAGCTGGAAAAATAACTCTAAAGTTATTGATTATTATACAATCCAGCGTCCAATCACATAAGTTACACATTTGATGAAAAAAGACTTATAAGACTTATACGTATTTTTGACATGATAGGCCTTCTCCTGTTTAGTTTAGGATTTCAAATGTTTTTGATTGGATTGATTTTTTAATCTAATACATATTTAATTTATGTATACTTTACTATTTTCTAAGTTTGTCTTATCTGATTTGATCGTTTTAAGTGTAGTTTGGTCTAATATGATTTGGTGTGATCTGGTGTAACATTAAAACTAATCAATTAAAAAAACATCCTTATGAATCATTATTTAGCATTTATGGCATGTTTGACATTTAGCCGTTAGCGGTTAACGACTTATGTTATCGGGTTGTTAATAGCGTATTCAGTCTGCAGGGTTGACTAGCGGAATAAGTTAGGCGAGTTACAAAGAGATGTTTGGTAATTTAACTATTCGGCCGTAACAATTAGTAGGAAATGTCTTATTTCAAAATGTTAACCTAAAACGCTACTATTTGCAATGTTTTCGTTTCAACGATTTTGTTCAAAAATGTTATGATCGAACAACTATTTACTAAACAATGTTTTCATTTATTGCAAATACTAAAAAGATTAAATCGATCTTTTTTATTGAAATGACATTGTTCAAACATCCCCTACATTTGTGGAAAGGGGGTGTCACATGGGTTAGGTCCCGGGTTCGAATCCCGGCAACTGCGATGAGAGGTTATTATGCTAAAAAATGCATAGGGTCTCTGCATGTACCGGGAACAGAGCCCCACTCTCCATCTGTCATATTGTGATTATAGCCCAATTTACATCCTCCCCACGTACCGTCCGATCAGTTTTGGGGGTCCTCAGGGATGGAGTGACATCCTTTTTTGTGGAAAGTCATAGGAGTTTTGAAGTTAAAAGTAATTTATTAATCCATTATTGCTCTAATTTTGGTGATTCTAACTTGGGTGGATCTGAATTGGAGGAATCAAAGACATAAAAATGATACAAAAAACAATACTCATCTGTGTAACTTCTTCGTTTTATAAATTTGCTTACTTGAATACTCCATCTGTATCTATTTACTTGTCACACTTTCCTTTTTTGGTGTATCAAATTAACTGTCTCTTTTCCTTTTTAGGAAATAATCTCATTCAAAAAGCAGCTACAGTACCACTACAGTATCGCTACAATACCAAAAACTTTTTACTTTTTATAAAGTATACAATAATTGTCTTAAACTTCGTGAAAAGCAAATGAGACATCTAGTTAGATACGGAGGGAGTACTAGTTATTGTAATTGAACAATATAATACAGGTGTTAATATATAGTGATGTACTTATGGACACACAAAAGGGGCAAATACCCCAAGGGTATGTTTGGGAGTTTGGAGGGAAGGGGAGGGGAAGACTTTGGAGGTATGTTGTTGGAGAGGAAAGGGATGCGATGGTGAGAAAGCCTTTCTTTGTATTTGGGAGTAATAAATTTGGAAGGAGAGTTTTTGAATAAATTATAATTAAAATCACCTTCAAATATGACGAATTCAAACAAGTGAGCTGATATTTATTTTTAATTGAACTTAAATTACCACTCCGTTGGTTATAATTCAAAACACTCCAAATTGGAGAAACTCAAAAATTGAGCATTTAGAGGGTTTTGGAGGGTCACGAAAACCCTCCGAAACCATCCCCTCCAATTTTATAAACTTCCAAACATGAAAAGGAGGGTCATAAACGCTCATTAGCCTTCCCCTCCCCTCCAAAACTCAACTCCCAAACACACTCTAAGAGATATAATTACTACACACACGTATGTTTATTAAGGATTAGTGTAAAAAGTACTACTCAATCTAAGGTGTACAAAGGAGTTATCATGAGTTAAGCGCAATAAAAACTTATATTGGCTATGATGACAGTAGGAGTTCTATACAATTAGCACAATAAAAACTTATACTCCCTCCGTCCCAAAAACAACTTCACACTTCATTTTCCACACATATTAAGGAAAATGAAGTGTTTGTCACTGTTTGTCATTGTTTGTCACTGTTTCGACATTGTTTGACATTGTTTGGCACTGTTTGGCACTATTTTGATGTAGATAATTTGCCAAATAAGAAAGTAGGAAGAAGTGTGAAGTTAATTTTGGGACATCCATTTAAGTAAAGTGGAAAGTTATTTTTGGGACGGACGGAGTATTGATTTGGAATGACAATAATGAATTCGAAGCATAAAGAAGAGTACTAAAGAAAGACCATGCGAGTTGGAGTGTTAGAGGAGAGTCAAGAGACCATTAGTTCCCCTTCTAATGGGTTAGTAGTAGGGTTGTAAACGAATCGAATCGAGTATTAATTTCATTTCAAATATTCGTTTCAAATTTGAATTCGAATTCGTATTCGAAAAAATTAAACAAATACAAATACAAATACAAAATAGTTAACGAATCATATACGAATATCGAATCGATTTGTGCATAGGTTAAATGTTAGTCAAATATCACTCTAAAATATTTTTTTTATACTCCGTATTTTTTAAGTTGTAAATGCATGCTATGACTTAATATGTGTTTTTAGAATTTAAATTTAATGAATCAATGCATTTTTAGATGACACACAATATACTAAAGTGAATTAATTTTATGATTAATAAATATAAATCTATTTCAAACCATTTGAAATAAACCCTAATACACACATAAGCTTATGCATATTGAAATTATACTTATAATGTGTGAAATAAGTTGATAATTGTATATATCAAAATCAAACAACTGTAATTTTATTCTTCAAATTAAATACATAATTATTTGTATTTTATCTGAAAGACATTTGAACCAAAAAATTGATTTGTATTCATATTTATATTCTAATTTATTATAAATGGGCTTGGAATCTGTATGCAAAAGTGTATATATGGGTTACACTTTGAGGGTATTGTTATCTTTTAAAAGTTATCATAGTGTTATTACTATTATTATTAATATTGATATTAATATTACCATTATTATTAATCGAATATATTTGATTAATATTCGAATCGAATACACTAATATTCTTATTTGTATTTGATAACAACTCGAATCAAATTTAATATTCTTATTTGTATTTGAATTTTCCGAATTCGAAACGTCTTATATGAATTCGAATCGCAAATCGAACATAAATTAATTGATTCGTTTACAACCCCAATTAATAGGCGTGTCCTGAAATTTAGTGTATGTCTAATTCTGAGGAGTATCATATTCCAACATTGTTTTTTCGTTTCCATATATCAATTCACCCAACTTTCTGTTCAAGTGAAACTCATAGTTTTATTATGTAGAATATAGTAGAATTTGTCTCCATATAAAACACGTTTCCCATGTATTATGGATGTAGTATGAGCCTATTATCACCTCACAATCGTTCGGTTTTTTGAATTGTCGAAAAAAGTCTCTCATCCATTTTAGTTAGTCAAACTTGACTTTCAACTAATGACGTCTAACGTCTAACTTTGACCGATTATATGTTTATATAGAGAAAGTATTGATAATATAAAAATGATATGAAAATGTTCTTTGTTAAAAACAAATAAAAATTTTATCAATCCGAGACAAATATATTACGAAGTATAAAATTATAAAATTGTTAAATTTTGCACAAATATATTGGTTAAAGAGAAAAGGGTCAAATAAGGCTTTCTACTATTATGAAATAGTCACATAAGACCATGTACTCAATAAAGTGTCATATAAGTGCCTCTACTTGTAAAAAACAATCAAATGAGTCATAATGACCTATTTAACACCTCTTAATCCCGGTTTCAACGTACTTCTGATCATCTTTTTAGAATACATTATACTGCATATGTCGAATATTTAACTAAGATTGGTTGAAATACAAGTCAAAAAAATCAACATGTAAGCTAAAATCGGGATTAGGAGGTGTTAATTAAGCCGTTATGACTCATTTGATTGCTTTATACAAGTAGAGGTACTTATATGACACTTTATTGAATATATGGCCTTATGTGACTATTTGGTAATAGTAGAAGGCTTTATTTGACCCTTTTCTCATTGGTTAAAATAATTGGTCAAAGCTTACTATCTTTAATCGGAAAAATCATAGATGGCTAAATAAATTGGGACGAAGGCAGTAAAATTTTTTCCCCAATGGTCAAAGTAACACGCTTAATGGTGAATTGATATCTTATGAAACTCCTTGTGACATTATAAACGGCAAGTGTTATCAACATTAATGTTGAAGTTAAGTCCTGAATGATCTGAAGGCCCAACACCAACCTTGGATCTAGGATGCGATTTGCTACAGTAAAGTGTATAAAAGAAAATATAAAATATGATTCAACTACTCAAATAACTCAGCTTGTATTAGCGCAGTAATAACAATTACACAGAAATGGCCGAACGACAGTTCTGGTCCAAAGGC